AATGGGTTTGAACCCCCCGTGGTAAGGGAATTAGTGACCTCTCAAAATTTTTTCAAAACCCCGCACCAAAAAAAAAAAAAAAAAAAAAAAAATGCATCTGGCATTTTACTGAGGTCTTGCTGTCCACTCGGGTTTACTTTTTAAGCAAACTGTAAAATATTCTCCAAAATGTCATCACAGGACTTTATAGTTGGCTCTGGCAAGTTTCTTGTGCAACTTCTGATTCTACAGGAATTGGTCTCTGTAGGATCAGAGACTGAAAATAAATCACTTTTATGAAAGTGTTCGTTAACAAGTTGACTGACACTGCTTTATCTTTACTGTCTGACATTAAATCAGGCTAAACTGTCGTGTCATTTTGGGTTCCCAACACCATTTCTGCTTAATAAGTACCAGAACATTAAGACAGAGAATTTTTCCTTAACTGTTTGATTCCTTCCCTCCTTTCAGGAAGCTGTTCCACGTTCGACCCATCACTCAAACTGACTGTTACCGAGCAGACGTCAAAGAAATCCCTAGAATATTCCAGGTATTCTCTGATTTCTTAACTTTCTATCCAGGTTTATCTTTTGCATAATATTATCATCAAGTAAATCCTTTTTATTTATTTTTTTTGCACCACATTTCATGGCCTCCCTGTTTTCCTTCAGATCTTGTATGCCAATGAGGGTGAGAGCAAACGCGACCAGGAGGCCGGGGAGGAGCCCGCACCTTACGAACGATCCAATTGTATCATGCACAAAGGTCATGAGTTCATCAGCGCCATGTACCACTTGCCCTGCAGCTGTGAGGTTTGCGTGCGGCCCCTGTGGAACGTCTTCAAGCCTCCGGCGGCCCTCGAGTGCCGCCGCTGCCATACAAAGTACCACAAAGACCATCTGGACAAGAAAGAAGAAGTTATTGCTCCATGCAAAGGTGTCATTCCTCTCCTTTAACAAGCTCTTTTGAAAATCTTTGTGTAGTCATCCCCATTGAACTAGTTTCAAACAATTAATTTGAAGAATTCTCTTCCAGTCTTGGACTGAAAAGACCTTGGTTAGAAAACATAAAAAGCTCAAGTCTTGATCTCAATTTGAATCTTTTCGTATCGTCAATCTTCCCTAGTGAACTACGATATGTCCACTGCCAAAGAGCTACTACTGCTGACCAGCTCCCAGACGGAACAGCAGCGTTGGGTCAAACACCTCCTCAAGCGCATCCCGAGGAAAAACCCAACACTAAGTCCTCCGCCGGTATCACGGAGAAGCCCCAGTGAATCCCTGCCACACACCTCTCCTCATGTGTCGCCAGAGTCTTCCCCCAAGGACTCGCCTCGCCTGTCCCACCGACGCGCCATCAAAATCCCGTCCACCAGACAGCCACAGACGTCAGACAAGTCCAGGTGAGGGGCACAAACATTATAGCCATCAACTTTGATCTGATTAACTGGAATTATGTGAATGACCACCATAGAGTAGCACATAGTTTTAGAATAAGAAGAACTTAAGTAAATTATAAATTCATGGCAGATATTTCTGGAAATACAACATGGGAAAAGAAATGTGAAATAAAAATTTGAGGGGGAAGAGAAGGAATGAAGGACGAAGGGAGGTAGGTAGGACACAATGAAAGAACACAATTGAGGATGGAAATAATACAAAGGAAAGAATAAAGAAAATTCTGCACTCAAGACCAGGATATAAAAAAGGTTAGAATGATGTAAGGAGAGAAAGAAAAGATTGGAAAAATGCAAGGAATGAAATGAGCAGAGGAAAGAAGGGAGGAAGGAAGCAACGATTAAATATCAGGGGCAACATTGAATAAGATTTGATACAAGAAAGAAAAGGACAAAGAATATAGAAAACAGACATGTAGGACACGAGGTTAAAAGGGCAGAAGGAGGAAAATACAAGAATGAAGGGAGGGAAGTATACAAATAAGAAAAGGTCACAGAACTGGACTAGAGGAATAAATATAGGACATTAAGAAGGGAGCAAGGGCAAAAGAGAGGACACATTTCGACGAGATGGGGAATAAAGTGTGAAAATATTTTCCATACTTTCTTCCCCCCTTCTGGTTCTACTGAAATAAAATTCCAAACATTTCCAGACGGAGTAAGAACGATGAATATCTTCGTTTGCAAACGCATTATATGTCCAAACATTCCTTCTGTGTAGTTAAAATGTGCCAGTTTCTTTTTTCTTCTTCTTTTATTGTGCCATAAAAAAGCTGCTGCCGGGACAGAGTGTTTCTGCTTTCAGCAGGCTTCCTGAGTCATTTTCACATGCAAAACGCTGAACGCGGCACTAAAATACACTTATTCCTGACCTTTTGGCGTCACTAATCACATTTTTTGGGGGTACTGTATTGAAGCTTGATCATCTCAACCACGCCCTAACCGGCTTTCATCCTGCAGCACTGGCCCTATGCTCCGTATCATCCTCCACTGACCCCTGAACTCCTCACCTCTGACCCTCACATTTCTAAAATTTCTCACACTTGGAGACTGTAAGTAGGAGAAGCCTGGTGAGCCCCAAACGCCTGCTTTGTTGCTGTGCTGCCATGCCAATTAACACTTACCAAGCAGCATGTACATGCACAGTCACCCAAAAGCTTGTCCTTGCTCCACACTGCCCCCTGGTGACTGTGGCAAGTATTGCCACCAACAAAAAATGTCATTCCCTGAACCCTCATTGTTTCAGGCTGCTTGAGTTTGACCTGAAAGACTGGAGTTGGTCGATGGATGATGATGATGATATTCTCTTCTGAAATCAGAGTCAGAGGGTAACTCCACCTCTGCATGAGAACCGTGTGAAAATCTAGTCCAGGAGGCATATTTATCATCTGAAGCATGTTTTTGTGTAATCCCTAAATTAAACAGGCGAGTGCAAAACAAGCATTACAGTGTGTAACTTTAAGCTTAGAGAATTTATGCAAACCCTGTAGGCGTCGTTTTCTGCATGTTTCAAGTCTTCACCAAAGGGACAACATCCTCACAATTGCAAACATGTAGACGGTCTATCCCTGGATTTGTCTGTTTTCTTGTGTGTGTTTTACAGCCCTGATGGGTTTAGATGCAGGGTAGCTTCCTTGTTTTTGTATGTGTGGATTTCGTGTGGGCGTTGCCTTTGATTTCTTGCCACTCTGCTGGTTGCATCTCAAGTTTTTCTCACATTATTCTGTTGTTTTTTTTTTATTTACTTATTTTTCTGCATCTCTCTTTTCCAGTTAACCCCGGCTGTGTTTTCATCCATGTGGATTGTCTGGACCCAGTTGCCTGCACATGAAAAGTACAGAACAAAAGAAAAAAAAAAGCCTGAAAATAATAGCAAAACGCATGACAGAGATTCAGATTAAGTGGCTGTTGTCATGAGAACTGGGATGTTTTTTGTCATTTTTGATGAGGGGGAACTCAACCTCATCTTCATAATGAGACTGCCTTTTTTTTATATTCACCGATGGACTCATTCAGAATCGTTTGTGAAATGTTCTGCTTCTTTATGAACACTAAAAGCACAGCTGATATTACATGATTGTTACATTTGTATGGGTTTTGTAGTGGCACATTATACAGGGTGTCCTGTAAATGTATGAACAGAGTTTTAGAGAGGGAGGGCCTATACCCTTTTTTTTTTTTTGAGCCTTAATGTCCTGGACTTGTTTTTATCACACTAAATATAGCCATCACAGCATTACGGAATAATGTGAAATGTATTTCTTCTTTTAGCTCAATATTCAGGACATTAAAAAGACAACATACAAAACTTGCAAGGATGCATTTTGTGTATTCGTGTTTTACTTCAAAGCCTGATGACTTATATTTGAGGATCTCATGGGGAGTCCATGATATAAAGAGCCAGTTAATTGTACAAGGAGAAAAATGTAGCATTTATGCAACACATTTTATTCAAAGAACAACACGATGTGGTAAAAACGTTTCTGCTGCTGGTCCCAGCACGGTGTGCCTCTGTGGTTTCTGATCATTTTAGTTCGTCTTTTCCTCAGGTTGAAACCTGGATGTGGTTGTTACATCAGGACACTGAATCCAAATATATATTTGGTAAAAAAAAAAAAAATCTAAATTATGGCACTTTAAATGAGCCCAGACATTTCTGATAAGAATAGTGGTCAAATATTCCATCAGATAATGGTGAGTGCGTGTATGATAGTTTGAGTCAAGTGGTTATTTGAGAAAAATGTATGATGAATCCAAATGTTGCACTTTTTTAACACCAGTCTACTACAAGTCTGTCTGTCACAAAGACAGTTTGTCTATTTATTTTGCTTAATCTGGAAAAAAAAACAAAACAAAAAAAAAACTGTTGACCCCAGAGAGCTATTAGTTGAAAACTTGGCAGACAGTTGATCTGCAGAAGGATGATGCATCTTTCAATTGTTTTTTTTTTACTTAATTTTTATAAGTTAAAAAGATGTGATGCTCTTCTTCTGCATCAGATGCTTTAAAATATGTGTAGCATTTCAAGCTGTCTTGGACAACAACATCTTATGATTTCCACCCAATTTCATAAGAAAATAAAATTATATCATTAAGTGATATCTGATGATGTATTTTAGAGCAGCTGTTTTATTTGTGAAATTTCCCAGGATGCTTCTGTTTGTATCTCTCAAGTGCATGAGGACTGAGTGGGCTGGTCTGAAGTAAATCTTTCAGAACCCCTAAAGCCAACTGGCTCTCACTATCTATAATGTAATGGTTCTCCAGGTTTCCCAAATGCTAAAATCCTATCCCATGTCAAAGGTTTTAAATATGAGCGTGACTCCACAATTTGGATAACTTACCAGCAGATGAAACCTGCTCGACCTGCCGACTGTCTCCTCATTATGAATTCTCTTCATCTGCATTTTTAAACCAGTCGGTTTCTATTCAACTGAGATCAACTCTGCATTTCGTTGGTTTCAGTGTTTCTCGACATGAAGCTGGACACGTTTTCTTTTTACCTAAAAACTGCAGATTTATAAATCAAAATTGGAACATTGATTGCCTTACTGAGCAATAAATGGAATCCAATTAGCTATGCAAATATTTCAAATGTTTTATGTAAAAGGCTTAATAAAAGCACAGAAAACTGCAATTATGTTAGAACATTCAGAAGTATAAAGCAATGTTTGCAAAAAAGAAAAAAAAAATTACAAATAAGAGCTGCAGAAAATGCTAGTGATATTGTTTTTAAACAACCTCCCTGAATATTTGAACCTTCTTGGACATATAAAAGCCTTAAAATGAATGACTGTTTTAAAGCAGTAGAAGAAGCTGACATTATTCTACTGAATCCCACAATTTTAGCTTATTCAGTGGAGGGGAGGGGGGGGGAGAGAAATCCCACATTGAGAAATATTTGTTGAACCCCCCACCTTGTTCCAATATGACACCAGTTCTATTAGATTTCACAATGTTGGAAAAGTCTGGAATGGATTTCTGACAATTACTATTTGGACGATCTGTAGAGATTATGCAGATTCCTGCGTCTTCCCTCGTCGTCTTCTCAGGTTTTCTTTGGCCATGAAAGAGGCTTCAATTTGATTCTGATTAACAGTTTGTGTTTTTGATTTGGCCATTTGTTTTGGATCATTATCCTGCCGAAAGACTCAGTTATGACCAGTTTTCCGACAGATTAATTTTAAATCTCCCCCCTTGCTGTGTGACCTTTTCTGCACCTTTTCAGTATTTTTCAGTCGGACTGAAAAATACTCCTTTTCACGGGTTTGGACTTTCCCTGCAACTCTGTTGCAACTGCGCATGGCCTTGAAAAGTAACTGTGCAGGGACATTTCATTATTTACACAATAAGTAATGATTAGATCACAGGATTTGCAAGTGACCATTACTGGAACAGTAGTTGATCCTTAACCGGAATACCGCAGTAAGTCTTTTTTTTGTTTGTTTCTGAGCAATTTCATGTGAAAACTAGAATAGATTTCTTAAGTTTTATTTGCCATCACTCATTTTGCAATATCTCTCCAGGTATTTAAACCGCCATGTTCTCATTCTGTTTTATTTTAGCGATGAAGTTCTGTGTTGCTGCTTTTCTCTTCCTGGCATTCTTCTGCCACGGCAGTTTTTCCTGTCCAGCTTTGTGCAAATGCTACCCCACAAGTGTGGAGGTCGTTTGTAGTGAAGTTCCTTTGACGGAGTATCCATCAGCGGGTCTTCCAGAGAACACCACCATGCTGACAATTCAGCTGACAAACATCACCTCCATATCGGAACACCACCTCAAAGCAACGCCACTTCTGAAAGAGCTCCATCTTTATGGGAACCAGCTTCAGAGCCTCTCGTCTCATTTACTCAGAGGAGTTCCTCAGCTGCATACGTTGGATCTGACCGGAAACGAGCTGAGTGATCTGCCTGTAGACGTCTTTGGCGATGCTCCACTTCGAAACTTGGTTCTTAAGAACAATCAGATTAAGCAGGCAGATCCAAAGTGGCTTCCTCATAACAGCAGCTTGACCTGGTTGGACCTCTCTGAAAATCATCTAACAGAGATCCCAGTTGGTTTGCTTCAGAGGCTCCCTCACCTAGAGAATATTGACTTGTCCAACAACCGACTGGAAAAGATGCCACCAAACTCCCTGGACCATCTGACTAAACTCGAGAGGCTAAACCTGCAAAACAACAAGCTTGAGACTTTGGATGCGTCTGTTTTCCAGTTCACACACAACCTCACTTCTCTGTTGCTCTCTCAAAACAAGCTCGCCAAACTCCCACAGTACCTCTTCCACGGACTCGCCAGACTCGCACATCTCAGTCTGGATGACAACCAGCTCAGCCGCATCCCCAAAGGTTTCCTTGACTCGCTGAGCTCCCTTGAAGAAGGCGGACTGGACCTGTCTGTCAACCCACTACTTTGTGACAGGGAAGCAGAGTACCTGTGGAGGTGGCTTCAGAGAAACAAGAAGAAGGTTTTGTTGGCAGACAACATCACCTGTTCATTGCCCGAGTCTCTCGCAGGGCGCTCGGTAATTTCCCTTACAGAAAACGATCTGAACATCGGGTCTCAACCTTCCTGATTCTGACTGTAATTAGGTGTATAAAAGGGCTAATTCATGATTTTTTTTTTTTTTTTTTTTTTGACTGGGGTCCTTTTAAATTGTATAAGCTGTTAATTTCACAGAAGCTGAAGATATTGGCTCGTCTGAAGCAAAGTTCTACGTCCTTAACATGTCTCTAATCGCAGAAATGCCACATCGGTTTATGACAGTGCAATCAAAGCATGTTTGGTTGGTCATATAAAAAAATGATTACTTGGGAAATAGAAGTGTTGTGCTATTCCATTAGTCTTTTTATATGAAACCTAAATGAAAACAAAATGTGTATATTTTTTTTAATATTACAGTTATGTTGTATCTGTAATATAAGAATAAAAAGATGTAAAAAGTTAACAGTTGTTCAAGTGAACATTTCATTGATCTTAAAAATCTGCCAGATTTTTTTTTTTTTTTTTTTTTTTGTATGTCTTCTGGAACTATTTTATATGTTTTTTTTCTTCATGCATGTTTAAACACTGGAAGGTCATTGGTGGTGCACCACCAACTTTCTTTTCTGAAGTAAATAACCATTGTTTTCTTTATAAAATTGCACTGAATTCTTGTTGGCCAAGATGGTGTGCAAAAACAGAATATCATTTTATTTTTAAGTGCAAATATAACAGTTATTTAAAACATACTAAATTAACAATGACAGTTTTGAGATGCAGAAGATTGGTTTGGTCTTTTTTCCTCTTGGGTTAGCTGTTAGCTTTAGCCACTGGGGCTTCCTAATCTGAACAAGAAGTTATCTGCTGATGCATTGGAGATTTTGGCTCATTCTGACATTTCAGTAAAATAAACTTACTGTTAATTCTGTAGCTATCCTTTAAGAAATGTTTTATATCTGATAGGTATTTTTCTCGAACCTATATAAAAAGACCACAGACAACGTATATGAATTTTATAGACAAAGCTTTTGCAAAAGGAGAACTCTCCGCCACTGCCTGACAGGCCGTTCACAGAGAGTTCTGGTCTGCTTTCGCGTGAGCCCCTGTTTTATTGTCAAGCAGAACAGCCAGAAAAAAACAACAAAGGTCGTAAAACTTCTAACCTAAACAAACCAGCAACTCAGTTCCAGGTGTGATATCTGAGCCCAGTTCAGCTCTAGGTCAAACTGTCAACAAAGAGGGAGGATAAACAAGAGACAAAATACGACTGCTCACAGGCAGTTAGGAGGTATTCTGGTTGATAAGAATTAAGGTCTGGGAAACACAGAGTTATACACACATAAGGAAGAAAACACTTTAAACTAAAAATCACAATAATACTGATTAACATTAGACTGAATATGAACTAAAGTAAGACTGAATATGAACTAAAGTAATAACAAAATGATAATACCAAAAGTCAGTCGTAACCTCCAGGTCAGTTTATACACACATAAGGAAGAAACACTTTCACAATAACATTAGACTGAAAGTAATAACAAAATGATAATACCAAAAATCTCTATCAATATCAATAAGATTTAAATGTTTAAGATGTCCCATTAGCTTGTTTTTGTTTGGGCAGGGACATGTATTCATTAATCATTTGTTAATGCAAGCACTGAAGATTTTTATTTTATTTTTTTTAAAGGAAATGGATAAAGATGCAACCAAAGCAATACGATGACTTGTGGACATTTTAAAATTTCTTTCCAAAAAAAAAAACAAAAAAAAAACTTTTTGCAGACATTTGAATGTTTGCGTTTTACATTTGCCTTTACTCCAGAGAGTTGTTTGGTCGCTTTGGACTTCGACTCTTCTCAGAAAGGCTCGACAGGACTAGACTGAAATTTGCAAAGATAGTTTAGGAAAGTTTGCAGCTACTTGTTTAGTGCAAACGTTTGAATCTAGCCGTGTTCCTTTTCTATTAAAATTTTGAGCAATTGTTTCAGCATGCCATGATTGGGTTTCGATTGGTCCCATTTAAAACCTTTTTATGAGAGATTTTAGTTTTTCTTTCAGACTTTTCAAAGACCATAAAATGGTATTGGATGGGTTTCTATCAATACTAAGTGCTTGACGATAGTTCTGAAATCCAACAAAAAGAAAAAATCCCACCCGTTTCTGCTTCAATTAATAAATTACATTTCACATGTTGACAATATAAAAAGGTAGGAATGTGACCATTTTGTCTTTTGTTGTTGAATTTCAACCCTGGATTGAATGTGACTATAGTAGCAAGGCTTTAAGCGACATGTCATTATCACCTCTTCCCACACGTCTCTTTTATAATTAACATACAAGTGAATCAGCCTTGGACGTGTTTTGGATTTTCTCCTTTCAGTTATATGCATGTTTTAAAAAAAATCCTTTGCAATAATATATGAATTAAAAAGGTTTTTGCAAGACAGGAAGGAGAAGATATTGATTTTAACAGCTACATTGTTGCTGTTACAAAGTACAAGAAAACAGTAACCACTTTATTTGCTCTGCTCTGTTTGCCTTTTGCAACATTTCATCCTGATTCACTGCCCTAATATGCTCAGCCTTGTGTGAAAAACAGTCCAGACTTGAAAGGAGTCGAGTTCCTGCTGCTCTTTTCAGGTAGGCATACATTAACAAGAACCATTTATACAATAAAGTGTTGATTTGTTCTTAAAGTGATTTTGTTTTCCAGAGTTTCCCTGCAGAGATGAAGTTGTTGCTCCTTGTCACTTTCATTGCACTAGCTGAATTTGACTACCATAGAAGAAGTGCTCACTCGTGTCCGGATCGATGCTCGTGCTCTTTTGAGCCTTCAGCTGCTGAGGTGGTGTGCAGCAAAGGTGGCCTCACAGATTTTCCTAGAACTGGTTTTCCTACCAACACCACACTAATATCCATCCAAAGCACACACCTCAGCAGCGTCACTGCCGGCGATCTGAGCGCTGTGCCGTTCCTAAACAAGCTGCAGCTCTATCACACCAATCTGGCAAACCTTTCCTCAGATCTATTGGTCTCCTTATCCCACTTGGACACTTTGGATCTCACAGGAAACAAGCTAGCTAAATTGCCCGCAAACGTGTTCAGTCACAGCTCGCTTCGCAACCTGGTGCTGAAAAGCAACCAGCTGCCAGAAGCCGACCCTGCATGGTTTTCTGGCAACAGCAGCCTTCTCTATCTGGATTTGTCCGGTAACCATCTGACAAACCTCTCGGCCGCTCTGCTTCACAAACTTCCCCTTCTGCAGACCCTGGATCTGGACGGCAACAGTCTTCAAGAGTTGCAAGCCGACGTGTTCAGGAACCTGCATCACCTGGAGACGCTAAATCTGGCTGGGAACAAATTAATAACCCTTAAACCTCAATTATTTGCTCATAATCTGCAACTAAAATACCTGTACCTGCAGGAGAATCAGCTTCAGGATCTGCCAGTGAACCTTCTACACAGACTTCAAAACCTTGAGCTTCTGCTGCTGAATCAGAATCAGCTTCGCCACCTCCCCACAGGCCTGCTGGATGGGGTTAATCCCTCTGTGCAGATAATCCTGACGGGGAACCCCTGGGAGTGTGATGGGAAGATGGAGTACTTGTGGAGGTGGCTCACCAACCATCGGCAAAATGTTCTCTTTGAGTCGGAGGTGACTTGCGATAACCCAAAGGCACTGAAAAATCGACAAGTGTCGTCTCTAACTGACAGTCAGCTTGGTGTAAGATTACAATGAATGAGAAAATGCAGAAAAGGAAATATTCGACTTTTGTTCCCTTTTTTGGTTGCACGTCAAGTAAATAAATAATGATAAACATTGCTGTGTTCTCCTGAGGTGTTTTCTTAAGGTCCAATATTTTCAAATTCTCTAGAACCTTTGAGGTGAATCAATTTACAATGCCTTTGCAAACATATTCAGACTGTTTCACGTTTTGTTATGCTGCAACCAAAACCGTCACTGTATTTTATGTGGATTCTATGCAGTAGACAAAAATGCTGATCGTCATTGTGAAGTGAAAGCTGTCTCCCCTGAGTCTGGGTGGAAATATTTTCCACCTGTGTTGCTGCCTCAAGTCTTCAGTGAAGTGTCTCGATCAGAGTTGCATGTCTAGAGACTAATGTGGTTCCAAATTCTTTGCAAAACTGTTCTGGCCTAGTTTGAGTGTCTGTGAGCAATTTTCAAGCCTTGGCACAAATTATTGATTAAATATCTTCTAATATTTTGTAAAATGAAGCTCTGGTTTTATGATTAGGGTTGTTGTCCTACAGGAATGTGAACTACAGCCATCTCAGTTTGTTTTTTTGCATCCTTACATAAAACTACATTACGCAGAGGTTATTGACATTTGCTTCAAAAGGGAATTAGTCACACTGAACTTCATTGAGCCGTGCCATTGTAAAAAGATCTAAACAAAAATGTTTGCACAATTTTATTAGCAAATATTTTCAAAAATCGACTTATATGTTGCCTTCCATTTACAGAATCGATCTGGTTGTAAAAATAAAAGTATGAAAGCTTCCCATTTATTCTATGCCTGCCAAAACCAACCTCCTGTTGAAAAACTGAGTAATTGCAGTGTTCAAACACAGGAACTAAAAATACCGGACAGAAACTGCAATCAAATCCCACATTTTTATGGGTGAAGAACTGCGTGAAAATGAAGGCTTTTCTCTTGTAAGATTCGTGCAGCGCAGCCTTTTCAGCAACAAACCTGTCTCAGTCGGCTGCATCGCAGATTGCTACATTGTTTCAGGGGTGCCCTTTTGTTTTTAATGATGTTCAGTACGTGGGCGTGGGTGTGTGGGCAATAAAAATGGCCGAGTCTTGAAACTGACCTCTGCTGGATGTGTTTAAATATCTACTTCTTTCTTTTTTCTTTGGCTGTTTTCCTTTATCGCGTTGTATTTGTGTGTACCATCGCTGTGCCCACACACTCTGGTCCTGGAGCCTCGATCGCACTGAGGTGTGCTGGGCTCTAATGTATAACTCTTCTAAAACATGAATCATGGCAGCCTCTGGATGCTGGTACTTATGAAAATTAAACCTCTCTCATAGGTGTTCCCCAAAAGGCGGGAAACAGAACTTGAGACGTTTGATGTATGTCTTCCTTTATGTTTGCTTGAATTGCATCCTGAATGTTAAAGGTAGAGGAAATGAGCCGAATGGTTCGAATCCTAATTCTCTTTTATTAGAAGCCCCTCGGGGCTCGAGCATCTGTTTTGAGGAAAGTGAGTCTTCTCCTCTTTCTTTATAACTCCTGCTTCCTTTTAGGTGGGACATTTAATCTGTTTGTGCTTCTCCAAACCCCAAGGCTTGGACATATTTAAATGGACAACACAGCGTTTCTTGGAGAAACGGCAATGATTAGTAGGTGTTGTGTTTTCTGGCCGGCATGCTGCCGTTCGGTGTTTACTACTGATACGGTTTTCAGGCATTTTCTGGTTTCAAGTTGTAGTAACGCAGATATTATTATATCTGATAGCTGCTCATTAGGATATATTAGACAATTTACAACACAACATTGATGTTAGCAGTTTTTTCTTTATTGATTATAGTGAGTGTATCAGGTTTCCTCTCTGCAAGATGACAAATCATCAGTAAAATGAAACGCCTTTTCTAAAGCCAGACATTTGGCTTTACTTATATTTAATCAAATTTGTGTCATGATTTTTGGTCTGATCATTAGACCCAAATGGAGAGCAGACTTTAATGAAAAAAAAAAAAAAAAACTGAACAAAAACTTACAAACAGGAACCAGGTACATGGAGTATAATGCTGGATCAGTTGACTGGAGCTGCTCAAACTGCTGCATTTAACTTTTATAAACAGTGTGTTGTTTGTTTGTTTTTTTCTTTACATATTTGTTAAAGCTATCACCATCAGCTTCCGGTCAGAAACAACCAATCAGAGCCAGGAGGAAGGTCTTAGCACTGTCAGTCACCCTCGTTTAGACGCTGCTCAATGTGTTTATGGCGGAAAAGCAACTTACAATTACAGAAAAATTATTTATGCATCGTCTTTGGTTGCCATGCTTACTAGCCTGATCATTCATGTTGGCCTCTGATGTGGAGAACTAGCTGTAGCCCAGCAGAGAGCGAGGAGGGAGAGAAGAGCAGCTTTGCCACTTACTGACCCAACACATACCTCACATCCAGTGACATCCACTGAAATTTGTACAATGTTACTTAATGCGGCAACCTCAACTGGAAATATTACTGAATGACACATAGCGCCTTGCAGAGTCTCAGTCTACACTGATGAAATTAGATCCAGTTTTTCTTCACTGACAGTCTAAATAGCTTGACATGGGGGCTTAGAACTATTTCTTAACTAATTCAGATTATAACAACTCAGCCACTAGAGGACACTCATACACTGAGTGCAGAGCAAAAAAGGGATCTTTAGATACGCCAGTGAGGCAAAATAAGACACAGTGTTACAGGAGCTTTTGTATGTCACATCAAAAGTATATTAGATGTCAAAACATTGGTTTATGTGAACAGAATATGTTAAAATTGAAGATGATGCAGCTTCTTGACGGAATATCACGGTTTGTGGTCAAATATTTTAAGCAACCTCTTGTGATTTTTAAAGCTTAGGCAAAAAGGGCTCTCACATTTGGGGTTATGGATGGACAGACGTAACACACTAATTGGCCTAGACAAACTCTATGTACTTCATTTGATAACAGTTTAAAAGAAAATCCCCAAACTATAACATATATATAAAATAAAGAACACCTACAAGAATAAAAGGCCTTTTTTATCTGCTGCAGTGCCCATTTTTCTCTTCATCGTTGACATTTCTTTAGTCACACTAACCTTTTAACGTTTGTCTAAGTCTACAATAAGAAAAGCGGTTGTTAGACTCATTAAAAGCTTTTCTCCTGGTGGGTGAAGAAAGTCACACTGCTTCTGCTTTTAGAAATTTGAGGCTATTATCATGAAACTTAATGCCCTGTAAAACATTCCAGCGAAGCCTTTTATCAATCTTCAAAAGCTTTTCGCCCACGCCTGCGAACACACACACACACACACACACACACACACCCCCACACACACGGGTTTATCCCACAGATTTTGCTGCTTGCACATCTAATCGATATATAGCTAAAGGACAGTGTGGGGCGAGGGATGATCACGTGCTTTCAAATGCATCTTCATTCATCATAATCTTTCAGAAATGTTCCAAATCTCATTCCCCGGCTCATAAATCTCCACTCCACATAACAACACACTTGAGGTAGACATGTGGTAATGCGTCTGTGCATTATCTTGTTATAGGCAAGGAGAACAGAGGTCACTTGATGGACGTTAAGCTTAATAGTTTACCACAAACTGAGGCCATTTTCCTGATGGAATAAAGTGTTGTTGAAACCTGAGAGGCAAAATTCAAAGAGACAGGTGTTTACAGACCAGAACATATATCTAGACATGCAATTTACGACAACAATTGAATGCGGGTGCACATAATAACGATTTTCTTTTTTAAATGTAGAGCGTGCTTAAAGTGCTCATTTTAAACAAAAACACTGACCTGGTTTTGTGTAGAGGATTAGTTCAGTCAAATTGGGTTTCTTTTCTGAAAGAAAAACCTCAGGGCACCAACCTCTGAAAATGTTTATCACACTGGAAACGATGTGTGCAAAATCTGAAAACAAAATTCTATTAGTAAATCATATTAAAAAAAAATTTTTGGGAGAAATTGTTGTGCTCAGTAAATTAAAACATCTCCTAAAAATTATCGAAAATATTACCAAAATTTGGTCAATTATTCCATTTGTGATTTACTTTTACTTTTTGAAATATCACAGACTCCTTCTCCTTGTCAATCTTCAGGATGAGAAGATCGAAAGATTATGTCATCAAAGTATTGAAGAATATCTTTTACTACAAATTGTTTACTACTATATAAGTAAAACTATATTGTTAATTTTACTTAGGGATAATTTCACTCTACACCATCCACCTCGGGGTTCAGCTTGAAAAACTGTAAATCTCTTCGACTGAGCAGTTCATCGCCTGTTTAAAAATGTCAGACTTTTTCTTCCTCTTCAAAGTCCTTCTGTTCTCCTTGACTGGAGCTGCTTTTGTAAATAAATATGTCCTCCTGTGGTGAGTGAAATGAGTCCCGCTGAAATTTGTCCAAGGAATTATTTCACTACTTTCCTTGTGCCACTTGGTTTTCTTCCAAGCTGTGGCAGATTTACTTCCCCATTGGTTTTCGTCTGTAATCAAATGCAGTGACCCCCAACAGAAGAGACAAATGTTCCAAAGGATTTTATTACCTCCAGGCACAAAGACAACACATTTCATCGCCATTTGACGTTTTGTATATCCACTGCGACTTGTTGAATACGCTTCTGTAAATTGTCATGTCTGCTTGTACTATTTTTTTTTCCGATTTTCTTTACGTCCCAAGAGGCTTTCTGCAGTGTCTGCAACAGGACTTTCACCTGTTATTGTTGTGGCTGGTGTAGAGTCACGCTGAGGTCCCGGGTAGCTACTGAAACGTGTTCGCAGCATGTTCAGAAAGGTCAGGGCTGCTAACGCATATCATGTGTCATTAATACGCTGTGAGAGGAGGTCAGTACAGCTGTTTATGAGGTCAAGCTTGAATCCAATTGGATGGGGAAAAAAACAACTGCTGGAAGATTTTATAAACAACTTATGAAGGTTTAAGGTTAGGACAAGCTTCTGTATGCCAAGGATGTCCTTACTTTAGCATGGAAAAGGAAGTTCATATGTCCATCCACCATAGGAGTTAACAGGTACTTGAGGAAAATCCCACTCCAAATGACAACTCCTCAGCTGATTTTGGGGGATCCCATGTCCAGGCCAATAGCTCCTCTAGTGGGTTCTTAGTCTCCATCTCCTATTAGGACCTACTTGTTTAAACTCTAAAAGGAGCGGGTCCTTAACAGATGCCTGAACCACGTCAACTGTCAGTGTCGAGCACTTCAAGCTTCGATGAGTTACACCTCTGTGTCTAAGGCCGAGTCCAGAGAAAGCTAATTTCAGTTGCTTGTTCTCTTGATTATTAGGATTTTTAAAAGCAATCACAATTGTAAGCAAGCAAATTTATATTTACCAGTATTTTTTCATAAATTTAGAACACCGGTAATTTATACAAAACAATTTGTTACCTTCCTGCAGCCTGCATCAATGTTTAATGATCCCATGTGTGCAGGATTATCCTTTTGATCAAACTCAAACTGGAGTGACATGAAGATGAAACTATCAGACAAATGTGACGGCTCCTCCTGTTAAGTCTCAGCAAGAACGCAAGCAAATGCATGTCCTACAGAGACTGCATGCAACAAGTTTCTGTGAAAATGTACTTGTTCATTTCATGAAATTATTTTTTCCATAGCAAGTGACCTAATTTCACAACTCCTATTTTTGCATGCATTTCCTCTCCTGTCTTATGTAACTATTAAATGTGAGGAGTTGATGCAAGAATCAGTCTCCTGAGCTGAGAGGGCTTCATTTATTATGAGACGAATATAGCACATTCGCATCTAGTTTTAAAACATTCCTCCACATTAGCTCAAGTAGTTACAAGCCCAAGGCTGCACATTTCCATATTGCCAACCGTCATGTTTTCACACATTAAAAAAATGCATGTGTGAACTCTCTTGTGAGAGAGACGAGTCTCAGAGGACAGGTGACTGAGGTATTGCTGTCGCTAAACCTGATTTTTATATAATACAAGCCTGATCTAATTGTAATTTTCGAATCAGGATAATGATTTACTTCATCAAAGTATTTTGTCTCTGAAGAACAGGGGTCATAAGTGTACATA